AATGCAGAACATTTAAGTAGCATCTATTTTCAATTTTGGCCTGTCCTGATATAATCCTAGATGGTGTCCAGAACTGGTTTTAGTTAAGTAGGGGGCGTATTGAACAATTTCATGTAATTTCTGTGCAACCAGAAAATTCCGCTTTGGATTTTATGGAGAACCTTTTGTTTGCTCCTGCATTCTGGCTGTCAGGAGATGGGCTTTGCATGGGCTGGAGCTGTGCGTAAAGCTGCCGTGTGATAATTTGCGTACATACAAAATAAATTTGAAAGTATTGAGTGCAAAAGCCAGCATTTCCTTACTCATCATGGATGCGTGGGTTGTTACCCTTGGCGAAAATAGGCTCAGAGCATTTAGTTAGTGCGAGTGAGTGATGTACACCAGCAGCGCAGGAAACACGGGATCAGTCAGCCTATATTCCCTACTGACGTGGAGGTCTCCTTCTAGTGTTGGCGGCTGGATTTGGGGAATTCAGAGGCAGGGATACATCTCTGATGGCCACAGCACTTTGGGAGGGAGGGTTAGGAGGGGGTAGCCAGTTGTAGCCTCTTCCCAATGTTAGATCTGAGTGTCAGTGTGATAGAGCTGGCGGGTGGGGCTTAGGCAGTTTGCTCCTTTCTGAGATGAGCAGAAGTGCTCAGGTTTTTGTGGGGGTAGAAGGACAGGCCCTGGAAAATAACTTGTTGCTCCCAGAGGCATCACTGGTGTTGGATGGCAGCGTTTGGATGTCATGAGTGTTGAGTCAGCTGTGCTGGGATAGACTGCAGTTGTCGGACTCCCATTTATTTTCTCTCAGAAGTGTTCGGATGTTGTTTGACTGTTGGTGGCAGTTGATTTGGTTTGATTTTTAACACTAGTTTTCCTTGCTTCTGTGGGGTCACAGTTATCATACTGTGCAGAGCTGAGGAGAACAGTTTTGGTAATGGCACTGGGAGCCCAACCAGCTGTTTGGAGCCATGTGGTTGGGTTAGATCCTGGTTGGAGGTTTGGCTGTCGGTAGCTCAGTTTTCTGTGGCTGTCACAGGCAAGCTGCGGTTTGCCTGTGTGGGGCACGCAGGGCCGGGCGTCAGACAGCAGCACTGCAGCTGGGGTGGGACTTGGTTTGCCAGAATGGTCTTTCGTTCTGTGAGAACCAGATCCAAACATCAGCCGCTTTGCAAGGGGGGCAGGCAGGACCCCTCTGCGGTTTGCATGTTTTGCAGGGAAGCCAGCCTGAGAGTCAGTGTGTTAAACCGAAAAGAGGAAGTGAAGGTAGCCGAAAGAGAGGAAGGATATGAGTTGGAAACTGTCCGTTGTCCCTGTGGCCATGTAGCAAGGTACAGGAGCTGGTGCTGTCGCAAGGCACAGAGCTTGTGGCTTCCCCTGGGATGCAGGACTTGCCTTTCTTTTCAGAGTCAGGGAGCTGTAAAGCAGTGATTTAACAGTAACATCCAGAGAAATAAATAGGTGTAGGCAGTTTCACACTTGTCTGTGAAGCCATGGAGATGTGTTGCTCTCCTGCTGGGCAGTGGCAGCAAGGTGGTGAGTGGTGTGTTCCCTCTCTCTTGTGTCCTCCCAGCACAGTGGAGGGAACATAGCTTTTAGGACAACAGTGTCATTCTCCTCATCCACACATTGTTCATTCTGTGTCTTCAAGGTCAAGCTACATGTAAGGTGACTGCTGCCTTTTCCATCGATGGGGTTCGCATTTTTCCTACTTCATGTTTTTTTCACCAGTTTCTTCAGACAGTGGCATGTGGTTCACATCTGAACTTGTCCTCAAGTGATATCTGCCCAGCTTGCTGCTGGAGCTGTGGGGTAGGACGCTGCGGTCTGACTGTAGCCCTACAGCCTGACGGCAAACCCTTAACGCTGCTGTGGGTTTGGGCAGCCTCCCTGTCGTGGCATGCACATCCTTCCATCGCTTCTGGTGAAAACAGGAGCAGGAAAAGAGGTCAAGGGAGAAAAGAGAAAAATATGTATTCGCAGCAAGCACTTTGTGTCTCCTGTTATTTGAATTCTGTGCAAGCAGTGAGCTCCGATGGAGCCCCACGCCAGCTCGGAGACCACTGAAAGCAAAATAAACATCTCTGCAGCATGGGCTGATACACTCACCCTTTAGAGCCGCAGGCACCTCCAATTAATCATGCTGTCTGTGGAGGAAGGGGCTATGAGGACCAGAGGATGCTGCCAGAGCTGATGGGCTGATGAAGGGGTGGGCAGCATGCAGCAGTAAGGGTGAACAGGCTGTGTACCACCCGGGTGAGCAGGAAAGACTGTGCCATGCCTTTGGGTGAGCACTGTCTTGTCTGTGTTGCAGCAAAGTCAGAGCTTTAAACCTGGTTTGTGGGATATATGAGTGCTGTGTGATGGTGCTCAGCGCTGTGCACACGTGGTTTGATGAAAAGCTTTCCCTCCTGTGTGAGAAAGGCTCTCACAGAGCAGCTCAGCTGGCCGGGCCTCGACAATAAATCGAGAGGCTGACCAAGCCAAGTGACTTCTTGAAATGTCAACGAGTGAGATGTGTCTGATACCCTGGAGCTTGGGTGTCTGCAGTGTGCTCCTGGTCAGCAGCATGAGGAGTCACCTGTCCCCATTTCCACTGAGCTTCTCCTGACAAGTCCCTGGCATCAGCTGTTCATCTTCGCCACCAACACTGAATTCTCTATTCATATTGGGGAGGGCAGCATATTTAAGCATCTTATGGGCTTTAAAAATGGCAGTGATGAAACTGAATAAATGAAGGAGTAAAATCAAAGTGAGAGGAAGGTTCTGGTAATGGGCTGTTGGGGCTTTCCCTCGAGTGCCAGTGGAGCTGGGTGCTGCCAGTCTGGGACCAGAGGCAGCAGGGCATTGGAAACAGCAGAGACAGATCCAGCCCACAGTGCGTGGGTTGCCAGGGGTGAAGACACCTGAAAATGGTGCAAGCTTATGGCGTAAGCAGGTGGCATGTGCCATGTTTGTGCCTATGAACAAATGCAAACCGCTGTCGAGAAAATGCCTTTGTCCAGGACTTTGTCAGTGCTGCAGCAGCGAGGAAGGAGATGGTTCATTTGTTTATCAACACAAATGAACTAGTTGTATTTAAAAATACAATTTTAGGAGTGTTTAGAAATACAATTTCAGGAGTACATTAATCTGTGGAGACTAGGTCCAGTGTGCAGGAAAACATGAAATGTTTTCAGACCTTATTTTTCTTGAAAACTGGAAAAGATGGTTCTGTGCTGTGTACAAATGCAGAGCTATGTGCCTGAACCAATATGTCAAACTGTCATGTGGGAGATTTGGTGAAAAACATCTTGTCCTAAGGGAATAATTTTAAACACTATATGTAGGTTTGCTGCCTCATAAGGGATCATTACTCAAATCTATTCCCTCTTATGGTAGCTTGGCCTCTGCTTAACGGGCACAGAGTGAACAGAAGCCCATTAACGCGTCCTTTAAGAGTGGTTATCAGACGGTAGAGGGGAAACAGATCTCTGATCAGGGAATATAGTGTTTTTGGCCAAATTCTCCGATTCAGCCTTAACAAGATCAGTAGCAATCCAGGGCCTTCACGCTCGGCTGGCCATCGAGGGCGGCGGCGGGGCCGTGCTGTGCCGGGCGGCCGGACCCTGGGCAGCGCAGGCGGCTCAGGCTGTGTCAGAGCGGTGAAGAAGTGTAAGGGATGAGCCCTGGGGCAAGGAGCCATTCCAGGGATCTTCACCTCCTGTTTGTCACTTCAATGTCGCAGGAATGCTGAAATGTGGAGTGGAACCCACTCCCAACCAGACCCCTACCAGACTGTGGCTGTGCTGTCACTCCTGCGTGGCACTGCCTCCCGTCCTTTTGTCGGTGCTGATTTTGGCAAGAATGAGAGGGAATGCATGAGCAGCACCTGAAGAGCAGGTTCGTTTCCCGGTGCCTTGTAGCATCCACAGTTGCCTTGGCTACACCAGCTCTCCCTCAATTAACCTCCTGTCTGACAAGAAGATGCACGCGATATGCGTTAGTCTTACAGGTGAACTTGGTTTTTATGGGATTAGTTTACTAAAAATTGGGACACATCTGGGTTTGCACAGTGCTTTGTGGGGTTGTCACAGTTAAAAGACTATATTTATTTTTTAATAATGCATAAGAAGATGCTACATGAGGAAAAAGGCTTTACGGAGCAGCTTAACTGCTCGGGGCTCAGTAAAAAGAGGGAGTGAGAAGGAAGCTGGAGGGACTGCAGGTGTGTATACACGGTGTCTGCAGGAGTGAGAAGAGTGTCTGGATTTAACATCACTAGAGAAATGTGATTTTCCCAGGCTGATGTGAAAAAGCAGTCTGTAGCGTGTGTATTGAATTTTTTGGTGAAGCAGAACTCCTGGTCCTCTTCCTGTGTCCCAGCTGCAGGCTCCAGTGCTGCAGGCTCCAGTGCTGCTGGCCAGGCTCCTGGCTTAGTCACCATGCTGCCATTAATGCTGTGTAAACAAACAAACAAACAGCAACCTTTTCTTTTCAGAGGCTGCGTGCCTTTGCAAAGTAGAGCAGAACGAAAGAGCAGCTTCCTAAATGTGCAAGGTCAGAGCAGAGGGTCGGGCCTGGGGGGAGGCTGGGGAGCCTGGCTGGGCACTGCCTGCTCGCTGTTTGTCTGGGGCTGAACGCCTGGAACGTGTTTGGCTGGATAAAGCTTGGTCAGAAGCTCTTAACCTAAAAGCAGACTGGCTCTGGGAACCACCACAAGATCACCAACTGCAGTGGGGTAGGACAGCGTCACGGTTGAGCTGGTTCCAAACTCCTTCTGGTCTCTGGTCACTTTACTGCTTTGAGTTTCATGCCTTCCTCGTCAGCATAGTGTGAGCTTACATACAGTGTTTTATCTGTTACCTCTGCTTCGGCATTTGCCGTTTCCAAGGGGCACAGGCTGTCCTCTGAGCCAGAGGTTGTACTTGTGTCTGTCCTGGGTTCTCTTGTGTCATGTCCTTTGGTTTGGAGAGGAAGTCTCCACCCAGACCATCTCAAGATCTTGGGTGTGGAGGATGGCCCTTATTAAAAGGGTACTGCTTTTATTAATAACACAAATTTCTTGCAGTAGTTGCTGATAGAGGCAGTTGTGCAGTTAAAAGATAATTTGTTTGAAAATACCTTGCTTTCAGTGAGATACTTCACGACTGACAGTGATTCGTCTGGAATTTAACGGCTGCAAGGCAATGACATGGTGACACCATCTTGCATTACCTGACTAATTTTAACCTGACCATTTCCTCTAAGATCACCCCTCCAGACCGTGGGTGCTCTGGCCTGAGGGTGTTGGGGCACTGGGGCTCTGAGGGGGGCAGAAAGGATTGCTGGTGGAACAGGTCTGCTGGGAGGGTGCTACTGTTCTGGACAAGCATCGGGCAGTATCCTGTGCTTAAGAACATAATTCTTATCAGGTGGATCAGCGCAACTTTAATTTTTTGCTACAAGGATTTTTTTCCAGGAAAGCATTTTACCTTTGTCAAGACAGTAATATTGGAAAAAAGTAAGCTGTGCTGACGATTTCCCTCCAGGTTGACTCTGAGAATTCTTGTGCCAGTGCAAGCCTTGCTGTGAGCTCTCATCCTCTCGTTGTTTTGGATTTGAATGTGTCATTTTCTGTTCTCGTTAACAATAGACAGGAGAGCAGGAGCTCCCACAGTGGTGTCCCGTGGTGAGTGAAGCTTGCGTAGACAGTGGCAGTCAGTACTGACTTTGCAAACTGAGGCTCACCTCTTTGCTTGGGTTTTCCTCTCAGGCCTGTTCATCCCTATGGGATAGATTTTGCTTTGATTCTTTTATCAGTAGTTTGCTTAGGAATTTTATCCACAGCAAACGGCTTAGGAATAATTTGCTGATTTACAAGCAAATAAGCCTAATTTTTTTATTCTTTAGTTGCTTGTGACACATAAACTTCTTCAAGTAGTCATTGCTGAGGACTGGTTCTGTTGGGGTTGTTGAGGTGCCTGCACAGCCGATGCAGTGGAGCTCTGGCTCTGATCCCGGCTGGGGAATGTGCCATCTCTGCCATGACTGTGGGAGTCCTTGGCTGTGGGGGTCTCCTGCAACCCTTGTAGTAACACCGCTGGGATCCCCGGGCCCCTCGTGGCTGCAGTTCAGCTGTGGGACTCTTTCCTCTTTCTCTGCAGCAGAGGAAGAGAGTTGCTGTCACAAGGACTAATCTTGAGGCGCTGGCTCTTCCTGTGCTGAGCCCAGCATGTCCTGTGCAGTCAGCGAGACGTAAGAATAAAAATATTGGGTAATGAGTGCCTTGTGAACAAATACAAGTGAGAAAAACATTTTTCTTTCACAGTTTTCTGCACAATCCCATCTGAGCTTTGAATATTTTATAAATAAAAAATTTTTCATGTATATTTGCGTTCAGGACAGTAAGTAAAATTGAACACTGAATCAAACAGTGGTTATTTAAGGAGTCTGTTTTCTTGCCCTGTGGTTTTCCCGAAGCAATGAGGCTCAGGGGTGACAGGAAAGGAGAGCAGAAGCTCCAGGTATTGGGAAGGTGGTTGTGGAACTCAGCATTTGGGTATTATGTGGTGGTCTCTGCTCCGTGCTTCTGCTCAGCCCCTTGGTAGTGCTTATTTATCAAAACTGATCAAAACACCCAACACCAACTGCGGGGAACTGGAATCCATCTGGAATGTAGAGAGCGTGAGCGCCTTTGCCGTGCTGCTGCCGGATTCCTCGCTGGAGCAGCGTGCGAGGGTGTCGGCGAAAGGTGATGGTGGCGCATGGGGCCGGCTGGGCTGTGCAGTGATAGACATCTGTGTGGGGATGTAAACAATCTCTGTGTGGAGTTTGCACGTGGCTGCACTAACGCAGGGCTGAGCAGGCAGCAGTGCTGCTCTGGAGCCCCGTTCCTTCTCCCGGCGTTTATGGCATCATGTCCCCAGATTCTCAGTAGTTTCTCTGTGTGGTGTTACTCTACTGCTTTAGATACGAGCATCTCTGACATCTTGTTATAATCAAACATTAAAAATATCTTCCATTTAAACCAGCCTAGTTTAGGATTATTAATATCATTGTGATTGTGTAAGAATCTGGTCAGTTCTGGTTTTGTATCTGGTTCAGTGGAAGCATTGCGAGCTGCCCCATGAAGTGTGGTAGCCCCGCACTGCTTGGCTTTGTGGAACAGGAGAAAGGTGATGGAAGGTAAAGTCCTGAGAGGTTAAACATTCACAGACAGTTTTTGGCATCTTTGGTGTGTTCCACCCATTTTAGCTACTCTTCACATTAACTGTAAAATCTATAGGAAAAAGGCCAAGGGATATTGTTTAGGATGTTTCAATTAAAGTCTTCCATTTGTGGTTAACAGAAACTAATGATGGTTCAAGATCATACATATTTTAGAAAAATATTATCAGGATACTCCATTAAGAGAGGGGAACAGGGAGACCAATGCTGGGAGTGACCGTGAGGGCACAGAGGGTTCAGGGCTGGCTTCCTGCTTGGAGATGTTTCAGCATCCGTTTTCAATAGCAGAGGGTGCATAGGGGAGGAAGGCTCCCGATTGTGCTGCAGTCCAGGACACACTCATCGGTCCTGGATCTGTCCCCAGCATTTAGACATGTCACAATTTGTTCTTCTGCCCTGATGAAAAATCGACCATGGACGCTCTCTGCAGGGATGGGGAGGGGGAGCCACACCAGTGGTGGTGACACAGTGTCCCCGAGCCAGGGGATGCGATGCCGCGTGCACAGGAACCGGGGCATGGGCCGGTGGGGAGAGGGTGAGGCAACCCCCCTGCTGCCGCCCGTGAGTTGGTGGGGTTGCGTGTCATGGGTCTCCTAACCTCTCTCTGTGAATCCTTTCCAGCCCACGACCTTCCCCCGAGTAAGACCTCGGCGGCGGCGGCGCAGACGGGCACCCACCTGCAGTGCCTCTCGGTCCACTGCACGGACGACGTGGGCGAGGCGAAGGGCCGGACTGCGGTGCCAACGTGGAGGTCCCTGCACTCGGACATCTCCAACAGATTCGGGACTTTTGTGGCTGCCCTGACTTGAACAAAAGAAATTATTTTTTTTCTTTTTTTAATTTCAAAGGGCCGCTACTGCTAGGTGGACTATTTTTCTAGGTTGGTACCTGCTTAGTGGCATATGGACTGGAAAGGGTTAATTTAAAGTAAACCTCAACTTTTTTTTAATCTTCTGCCACAGTATGTTACCAGTGTTAACCCTTCTGCAGTTAGCACACTTTTGCTTAAGATTTTCCTGCTAGACCACTTTTTCCCATTATTCTGTAACCTTGGCATACATTTATAGATGAGGCCTTTTCCTTTTTCATCTCAGCGTATGTCCAAGTCACGTATGTCATAATAAGACAAAGATTCTCCTCCTCCTCCTTTTTTTTTTCTCATTGCTTTGTGTTTTTTTTTTTTTTTTTTTTTTTTTTTTTTTTTTTTTTTTTTTTTTTTTTTTTTTTTTTTTTTTTTTTTTTTTTTTTTTTTTTTTTTTTTTTTTTTTTTTTCTTTTTTTTTGTTTTGTTTTGTTTTTTGTTTTGTTTTGTTTTGCTTTGTTTTGCTTTGTTCAGTGCTTATTACAATGGTGATCCTGAGGAGCAGCAGTTCAGGAATAAACACCAGTGAAAGTGAAATGGTCAGCATTAAATTATATGTTATACTGACACCCAGCCTTTGCCAGTCACATACAAACCAAGCAGTTGATGCTCTGTCGAATGTTCAGGCATGGACCTGCCCTTTCCTGAGAGAATGAGGTTCTCCTGTTAATGAGGTTCAGCCTCATTTGCTCTGTGCCTCCTGGTGAGGCCGGGACGCCCCTTCTTCTCTGTACCTGGGCCCAGCCCCGGGATGGAGCTCTGTCATGAACGGGCTGGTTCAGGCACACTGGGGAATGTACCAAGGGGTTTTTCTAAATAAGTCTAACAGGAAGTTTTCTTAATGGTCAAGAGTCATTATCTCCTCCTCTGAAGGCCCAGGCTCCCTCTCACTTGCCTGGACCTGGTGGTGCTCCTGCAGTTCCCACTTTATTGATGCTGAAAAAGAAAATCCCCTGCGCCCTGACCATTTTTTGCCCATTTTTTGCTGCAGAAAGATGCTGCTGATCGGTAGGAGGTCCAGTGTCCCCTGTGCTTGTCTGGGGATGCCCCAGCCCCTGCCACCTCAGGTCCCAACGCAGTGGCAGCTGCTGGGGATAGCCCAGGTTGGGGGATGCATGGGGCTGTCTGCTAGGGGCAGTGTTTCCTAATCTGCCAGTGCAGGGAGATCCCTCTTCAGACCCCCCAAAACTCATTCAAGGTCCTGTTTCTGCCACACACTGAAGAACAGCATTGCTGGATGCACACAATAAAAGGAAAGCCATGCTTTCCTGCTCGGGCTAGATAATGCTCATTCGAGACGAAAGTTGGAAGCAAACCAGATAAACCCACGACTGACATGATGGTCTGACTCTCCAGCGGTTTTACGTAATACTGTCCATTATTTGTGTGTCCCTGCGCCCAGGAGTGGCCCCGTCCCGCCCCGTGCCGGCAGCTCGCCTCCCGCAGATCCTGGAGCTCAGGAACAGCACTGGAGGATTAGGTTTTGGCTGCCAAATAAAGGTCGGCCTCTCCAGGGTTATTTATTCATGATTTCACAAATGTGTCCCTGCTGAAGGGACGGAGTTGAAGACTGCTTTGTATTTTATCTTTGATAATTGTGCTGGGTTTTTAATTATTTTGACGTAATATTCTCAGTAGACAGCAGTGGAGAGGAAATTCTGCCTAAAAAGCCAAGGGTGGTCTGGAATCCTCACTCTCGGGTCGTATGTGGCTTCAGAGAGACTCGCAGTGTTTGGAAATGTGATTTGAATGTGCTCTTATTAACCATGCATGGATTGATTTATGGGTCTGGTCAATGAATTGACTTTGGATAAATTTGGATACTTTTGAATCTTGATTTTCAATATTATTTTACTTTTTATTGAAGCTGGAGCTGCCACGAGGATGAGGATTTTTGCCCATCCTGAAGCAACTGGCTGTGGAGCTGCCTCACGCCCGCTTGGTTTGGAACAAAAAGCTGGGATGATTTGTACCTCTGTTGGGGTGTGTGACCAGGAGCGCAGAGCTCCTCCTGCACCTGCAATAAAATATCACCATCCCCAGAAAGTATCTCCTGGTAGAATAATCACTGTCAGCCTCCCTCTGGAAGGTGCCTCTTTGCCTGTGATTCCTCAAGTCCCGGCTCACCCAAGTATGTGATTTTAAATCCTGTCAGCAGAGCGTGGGGGGGTGCTGAGCTGGGAGTTCTGTGCCTGCCAGGGCACTTGTGCTGCTGTGGGGGGCTCGGTCCACAGAGAGGGGTCCTGGGGTGACCCCAGTACGGTACTGTCTTCCATCACAGCTGAAAATTTTGTCCGAGTTCATGGCCTGGTGGCGTTCCTGCATGGAGTGCAGCCCCTTGACTTGCTGCTTTGTTTTTAGTTTTTCCTGCTGCACTGAAGAGAACAGGTTTTTCAGGCTTCCTGAGGTCAGGGATGCACACCCTGTGCCACGGGAAGGAACCTGTCAGGGAACGCAGAGTTCAGATGCTTTTAAAGAGAAATCCTTGTTTGAGTGGAACTGTGCGTCTTGATTTGACCAGCAGTTCTACTTGTTCATCATTGGCAGCTTGTGCTTCTCTTCTGAAGTTGTTCTCATCCACTTGGAACTTCCTTTCTTACTTGCTCACATGGAAATGCAGAGTGCAGGCAATTCCTTAAAAATCAGTGGAATTCTGTGAAGTGAGGCCGGGCTGTTCTGAGGCCAGCGGCTGTGTCTCCAGGGGCCGAGCCATGAGTGCTGTGTCACTTGGCTGCTGGTGATTCCGCTCTGGGTGGTGGGTGCAGTGTGGGGAAGAGCACTGTCAGAGAGTGAGGAGTTAAACCAGTGGCTGGCTGTGTGCTGGGAGTTCTCCTGAATCATATGGTCACAACAAAATCCTCTTGCTAACCTCCTGTCCCTTAGATCTTGACTGACTGAGCTCTGCCTAGGGCAGCCACTGGTGATGCCAGGGCCAACCAAACCTGTGCTTTTAGGGTTTTGTTGCTTTTTGCCAAAGATCAGAACAGAAACGGTACATCCTGACCAACACAGGCAATCACATCCTGCTCATCACCTGGGAATGTGGTACTGGCAGCATATGCAGAGGGCTCGAGCTTTGTCACAGAGCTGGTGGTACTTGCAGTAATTTCATTGTACCCGTTAATTTTACTCATTAATGATGTAATTTTCTGAATAGTAATATTCCAACTGAAGCACGTTTGAGAGCTGTAGGTAAAAGGCAGTTGTGGAAGAGGTAAGTTGCACTCTAGTGGAGAGGGAAACTGAGGCACAGAGAACATCGACCTGACCGTGTCAGGCATATCAGTGGCAGGGCTGAGCTGCACCCAGGTCAGACCTCTCTGCTCACTGCAGAGCCCCCTGCCCAAGACTTGCTCCCTTTGGGGGCTGAGCTGGTCAGTGGGGAGAATTTTATGAGCTACATGTTTCCCAAATGCCAGGGCAAAGCCAGGATGGTGAAACCTACCTGTGTGTCCTGTGTGGCTTCCAGACGGGGGATGTTGTACAAGAAGCCAAAGACTGATGGTACATGACACACAATCTGCTTTGGATTGTGAACAGCGGTGGCTTTGCCTTTGTCATGGGGATTCTCCCTGTCCAGCCCGGTGCCGGAGGCTCCCACGCAGCCTTGGAGCTGCATTGGGGGCCACCACCTCCCGGCCCTGTGCCCTGGCTCCCTGTGTGTTTGTTAAAAGAAACCCTGTGCTTAGTCTGCAAGTTACAGTGTCATAAAGTTTCTGTTGCATTTCAATTGGGAGGAGTGATAAAACATCTCGTTGCCAGATCACTTTCTCCTGGGGTTACCCATTCTCTGCTATTCGAGCATCAGTGGGGTGGTTTAGGCTCATTGTTATTTAGTTAAGGTTTTCACTGTGTGTGAAGGTGGAAGGAGGTGAGCACCAGAATTGTCACCTGCATCACTTGGGGACCTGTGCAGATCCCGTGGCCTCCATGGTAACTCTGGGGCTGGCTGGCTTTCAGAACCTGGGATCGAGGTTGGACTTCCAGGCACCACCAGCAAGGCAAAAAGTTCCAGTTTCAGTGGGCAGAAGGGGTGAGGCAAGTGCAGGGCAGCAGGACGGGCACTGGGAGGGTGGGGGGCAATAGAAACCAAATGGTACATTTGGCTTAATTTTTTTGAGCTGCAGTGTAAGGTTTTCTCAGCTGCTGGATTCACAGCTGTTCAAAGGATGGTGTGTAAGAGCATAACCCATTTTTATAGAATTGTTTCTCCTTTATTGCTTAAGGCTAATGGAGGAAATAGTCTAATTTTGTCTTAGAAATTCTCTATTAAAATTGTTGGTTTGAGTCCATCCGCTCATAGGTTCTGACTGATGAAACTGCAGGCTCTTTCTGGCAGTTATAACTTTATCACTATTCACTACCCAAGAATATTACAGCTTTAAAACAGCCTTAAGCAAAAGGATGTTATTTCTTTGTACTGAATTTGGTTCATGGAAAAGAGAAAAAAACTCAAAACACTGGTAATCCGTACTGCATAGCAAACTCTTCTGAAAAATGTTATTGCACATGTAAAATATGAAAACTTGACTCTGCTGTGTGTTAGGCAATCCTGTAACCTTTTTTTTTTTTTTTTTTTTTTTTTTGATTCTTGTTAAATTCATTTCCTAAATGCTTGGTTGGAAGACTGTGACAATAGCTCATGAAATTGAGTGTTATTTTTCTTTCTTTTTTTTAAATATGTAAAGTGCAGTCTTCTGTATTCCTGCATATTGTACATATCTGTATATGTTTTACTGAGCAACTAAATAACAATAAATATGATGTTAATGGTGGCTACTGTATATTTCACACCAGCGTTGTTGATTTTTGTAGTAAATCCTTTTTCCCCTGGAATGTGAAGAAGTGAATAGACGCTGTTCACATTCAGGTAAGCCGTGGGCCTCGCGATAGTGGGGAGAAATTTACCTGTGATCCGGGGAAACCCTCACCCATGCCCAGATCTCCCACTGTGCAAAGGCTCCTTTGCTGCTGCCAGCAGCTGGAGCTGCCTGTCCTGCTCCAGCAACGCTCTGCCCCAAGCTTCTGCTTCCAAAAAGGCAGCAGGAGCTCGCTGTTCACTGCACATTACATTAACAGATGAAAATCAACTGACTGGCCTTTGATTTCTGTTCTTGACACTGGCTTTACTTGTCCCTGGTAATGTCACCTCTGGTGATGCCGGCACAGGACCTGCCTATCCTGAACACTTGCCTTCATCCCGGGGCTCTGTGCTCAGGGACTCACCTGGTCTGTGACTGTAGTAAGGATGGGTTATAGTTTATTAACTAAAGAAAAGCAAGTGGTTGGTCATGGAGCTTTTACAGTTCTTGCTCTCCTAATCGTTGTGCCCTGCGCC